CTGGGTGATTTGAGAAAATGCGACTAGCCAATCAGCGCAAAGCTGACAAGCTTATGTTGTAAACATAACCCCCCGACGGGAGGAATTTGCACAGCAAAACTCGACCCAGTGGAGTAGGCTGCCTGCCATTTTATTCTATCCGAAAAATCAAAGCTAAAACGCAAAGAGAAATTGCAAATCTTTATAAAATAGCTTTTATTAAATGTCAATCAAATATTTATCGTTATAGAAATAGAATTTTATCTTAAAAATGAAATAACAAATAATTTTTTCTTTAATACCAAGAGACTCCCCTCCCTGATAAAAATAATTGGTCTGTGTTCTACGCGGGTTCTCCATTGCATGCGAAGCAATGGCCGACTTCACGAAGACTTCAGAAGGTCGTTGAAGCGACGTTCAAGTCCAAAGTATCTTAGGAGGAACCATTGCAAATCCTTTTTCTTAGCTCTTGTTTCCTCTAAGCTTTGAGGTATCTACAACATCACGGAAAGAGCTAGAGCAGCTTAGCTCCACGTATTCCAATAGAGTTAAAGCGTTTGTTATGTTTGGTAGTGACAGCAGTCGTAGTTCATCCATTGTCGCATTTTCGGCAATAAGCCGTAAGCGTGTTCGACGATACAACAGGTTGACGTTATGTAACAGGTCGGTTACACATTTACTAGCTTTGACCTTACAACGAGAGCTAGAACGGTGACTGGGGTTTTTCGTGTAATGTCTTGATAGCGACTGTTTATGTTGAGACGACTCAAAACAAAATTCCACCGTGAAAAAAGTTCGACTAAATTCCCTTCTGAAAAACACGTGTGTATTTAAGGTGGAAAATGTTTGATATGAGCATTCATTTCTTAAAGGTTTAATTCTATAATCATTTTGTTTAGTTCTGTAAATAAATTTAACACGACTTGTACTGTTTATCTGAGTGAAAGGAGAGCTGCGGGTTTTCCCTTTCCTTTATTTACACTTTCAAATATGACCGCTTAACAAAAATGCACGGGCTCACTGGCTTACAACCTTGGCGAATTCATACGCAGGCCTGGTCGCAAATCAATCACCCAGATATGAAAAAAACTTCTTAGATTGCTTATTGGTATAAGTTCTTCATTTTAAGCCAATGAAAAGAATGGAGAGAAAAATGTTTGGGATGCTACAAAAGAAATAGAAAAGAACACYTGTGTGAAGTTTAGAAAGAAACAATCTGGCGATAAGCACTGGATCAAGATGATCAAAGACAAAGGGTAAATACGAAATAATCCTTATAGGGACGGGAAGGGGGAGCTGAGGAAATGAGAAATAAGAGAGTCCTTCAAAAAAAGAATCTTTATGTAGCTTCCTTAGGGGAAGGGTTCAGTGGACACAATTTACAACACAACAATTGTTGACAAAATATTTTKAACCATAGAATTATTTGTTTCCAGCCCAATATTTTTCTCCTTACTTGTTTTACAATTMTTTCCCTTTTCCCTCTTTTATCAATGCTGGATCTTGATTTGGATTCGAATTTGGATGCTTTGTACTATATGTTAGTATGCTCAATGACAACATTTCATTAAGGGGACTATGGGGATAATTAAATTGTCTGCTGGTGTTGCTTAAAATAAGGAGATTCACTGGTATTTTCTCAACGATTGTCTTTGATGTCTTTGATATCACTAAAAACGATGAATTTATTAAAAGGAGTCAATGAACTATTTTTTGCTTGCTCTTAGTCTCATCTATTTGAGAAGTATGTGAGCCGCTGGGGCTGATCACACACTAAACGAAATGTTTAGCAAAATAAGCGCTCGAAAAATAAACGGACAGGAAGGAGAACGTTGYAATGCCAATACATAAGTCAATGAAACACCGGCCTTCCAACCTCCGGAGGGGGTCGGAGAATCGAAACGATATAGTCGTGTTTTATCACTGTTTCACACAACGCAAAAAAAATGACTGACATTTTAACTCCCCTAATATAATCCCTMTCAGTGTTGCTTCTTGTAGCTTGCGAGTCGTCATGCATTTGAAAGCTGTGTCATCATACATCAATACTGCAGCAACCTTGATTTTAAGGGTGACCATGGGATCATTGAAATGGTATAACATGAGAGGGACCTATATATCTAAGTCGTCTCGTATGGTCTTTCCAAGTAATTTTGGCAGCGACTGTAGCAAACAATGCAAGTTAAGGCTGATAACCGACTATCGAGGTATTTAATTCAAACACGCTGATTATATGCTCCAGGTGCTGGTCATTGGTGGGCCGTCAAGTGCGCATAACCAACGGCCAAAAGTTGTCAATTGGAGATGGCTGTAACCATGTGTCGGTAATCTTGCACGAGTTGCTTCACGCCCTGGGTTTTTGGCACGAGCAGTCAAGAACAGACCGAGATAAATACGTTAATATCTTATGGGAAAACGTTCAAGACGGTAATCAAAATTATTTTTTTCCCTTCCATTTTAGGACTGCAAAGCCTTACAACAAACAAAGGGATAATGGGACTAGGAAAGAGATTGGATTCTTCAGAGTTTCCCAATGGAAAATCGAAGAGCCTTCGACTTTCCATTAGGCCGAGAAGATCCTGGGTACGAGATTGCTTTTTTTCTGTAATTCTGTAGGTCAGTTACACAACTTCAACAAGTACGAGGCTGGACAAATGGACATGGTTGGAGGAATGTACGACTTTCACAGTGTAATGCACTATGGAAACTATGCCTTTTCCAAGAACAAAAAGCCGACAATGTTGTCAATCAAAGATCCTAATCAGAAATTCGGCAGTCACAGATCAACACTTAGTAAATTTGACATAGTCCAAATCGACTCGTTGTATAATTGCAAAAGTAAGTTTTCTTAGTTTTCAGTGGAAAGTACCCAACCTCCCTTTTTGCTTCCCCCACCCCCACTCCTAGGATTTCCAGGATTTTCCAGGATTTCCACATTATTTTTGCAATATTCACATCCCCCTCCCTAGGAATTTCCTATGTGGATATCAAAAAAGAACACCCTTCCCCTCTGGATTTCCATGATGTTTTTATGACCCCTCCTCCCTGCGATTTCCATATGTCCTCAACAGGGGTGGTGCGGATAAAAAATGTGATAGCCCATTAAAAAAGACTACACTGAGCCCAATCCACATTGTACCAAAAAGATATTATTCTTTACTATCAGCTAAATCAGGGAGTTGGAGCTCGTGGACCGATTGGGGACCGTGTGATCTCGGCTGCCAAAAGAAAAGAGAAAGGTTTTGTCTTGAAAAGTCTAAAGAGGGTTGCCCTACCGCTGACCAACATGGAATCGAGTTTCAAAAGAGCAAATGTGAGAAAGATGAATGTAACGGTAAGGAATCCCAAGTTATCTAAATTGTAATTATCGTGGATAAGGATGTTTTGATCGTGCTTCGTATAGACGGGCAGACGGTGGATGCAAGTTTATTATTTTTAGTTTATTGGATGATTTTTAATATAATTATTATTATTTATTTGTTTAACAATGCTTTTCATTCTACTCAATCAGTATCTGTTCCTGGTCATTGGGGTCGCTGGGGTACATGGACAAAATGCAGCAAAACCTGCGGTCATGGCTACAGAACACGATCAAGATTGTGTCGGAATCCCAAGCCACGAAAAGATGGAAAATTTTGTGAAGGGCCTTTTGTTGAAGCTGCAGACTGCATGGTGGCAAAGGAATGCAAAAAACAAAATAATTGATGATTTATTAAAGGGAAAGCATATTCTCAAACTCATTAATAATTTTTGTCACGTGCATAAAACTGGATACCCGTTCGTCTGAAACTACCTTTTCAATCCATGTTGACAATTAATTGATATAATTAAATCAATTGACATTGTATCATGGCGAATGTTTTTCGTTTTTTTTTTGTAAACAATAAAACCCTGCAGGCTCGTGCTTTCACTTGATTTTCGGTTTGTTTGGATGCCRTAGATTTTTCCTTYGTTTTAGAAAAAGTACCTCTTAAATTCATTGATTATTCATGCTTGTCATAAAAAATACGCAGTCAAAGACTGCATGTGGCTAGTGCTGGTATAACTGAAGACTTAAAAAAATAGCAATTGATGACTGCATATGGCCTCTGTCATCTTTGTTTAAAATGTTGTGCGAGCATGAGATGCATGGCATGACAAAATCTTTGAAGAAGGCAATTTTATAACAATTTTATTTTTTAACACAAAACTGTAAATGTAATTATATAACTGTAGAGCATATAAAATTACAAAATTTCGTATAAAATCTCTTGACGAACATGGCACTGATCATGGTGATTTCATCAATAAACTCTAACGGCAAATATATATCAAAATATACAACTG